TGAGTCAATGGTTTTGGCATGTTCGACACACTGAAAGGAAAGGCTAACTTTTGAGGGATTACGACGGGTGTATTGTGAAGCTCTGAATACCACAGCACCGCGAATAATTGGCGAAACATCGGCGCTGCAACGTGTTTTATATCCACGCTTGATTTACACACACAACTGAACACATATACCTGAAAGAATTGTACATAAAGTCGATTTGTTACCGATCGTCTGAAAGTTTTACTTAAGGTCAATGTGAATAATATCTGGTCAAAATTTTCCAATTTTATTTGCCCTTTAGAAAGAGAAAGCATTTAATTTGTGTGTCTACCAAAACAAAAATTGTTAGATCTTTTGTCATTTTCAGATTCTGTACTTTATAAGCTTTACAGTGATACTAGTTTGTCATGGTTTCTTTGAATTAAAGTTGTGCGCGTAAGACGGTTTTTCTGGAAGGCACACTATTTTTGTTTATAGTATATTAACCTTAATAGGTCCCGTCTTGGACATCGTGCCTCTATGAAACTTTGTCACATCAATTTTCTTCAAACGTTTTTAGCATCTTACGGACCCTTTGCCGCTTCGATGACCTGAATTCATTTTAGAAAATGTGAGTTAGACGACAAGGGTGGTCGATTATTTAACAGCAAGATATTGAAAAAGAAACAAAAACAGCGCCACTAATTTGTTTTGCGTGCAACGAACTTTGAAAACGTAACAAAAAAAAAACCCGCAGGATATAAGACCTCCTTACTAACACAATTTATAATGGTAATTGAAGTGAGTTGAATGCAATTCTCTCTGAAATAAAACGCGACTTTCAAAATTAAATGAGCGCGCTGCGCGAGTTGGCTTTCAAATCGCAAGTATGATTTTGGGTCAAAATTTCTCGGCATGAAACTTAACTACAACGTATTAAACATTTTTGAAATCACAAAATTCAGTCGTCCAACACGATTTTTTGTAGCCTGTACAGTTATAAATAAATAAATAAATAAATAAAGACTGTTTATTAAGACTCATTGCAGCAATGTGCAAAATGGCTGAATTACAGAGCTATTTACAAAACATATAATACTAAAATATAATACAATAAATCCAGTAATACTAAAGGGCATAATTATACAAACCATTAGGTATACTTATGCGTGACAAACTCTTGCGTGACGAACTCTTGCGTGCACTCGGTCCTACAAGTAGGACGCGTGGAGCGGCTAATGCCAGATCTAAGATTATAATTATGCACAACCTCTTCCTGTTTATTTTGTTGATCCAGTATATTGAGCTGGTTTCTAAAAGTTGCAAAAACTGTCCCTCATTTTCCCGAAATTTGATTGGTTTCTTCTAACAAGCCTTAAAATTTGATTGGTTGTGTTTTAGTAAAGCGGGATTCCTGAGATAACGATACGATTTAGAACATAAAATGGTGCGACTGTGAATAAATCGCATCGGCGAGAGCCAAGATAAGATTGCAAGGATCACAAGTGATTTTGACTGGATATAATCTATAAATACCACATCATATTAAAGTACATTGCCTCAGCAACATTTTTATGCCAATGAAGCAGAATATTAAAACTTCAAATAACATGGTTTTTTTAACTTTTAACGTGTCGAGCGTAAACCCTTCCACTTACCCTTCATTCATGTTTTATCTAAATATCAGGCAGCGAGTATTGGACGAACCATCTGTCATGTGTCCCGAGGATGACGCTATATTAAAAATGTGAGGCCGGTGATTTTTTTTAATGCAGAAAGGCCTTTTTCTTATTAGTTCCAATAACATCCTCGGAGACCCAGGGGCTGTGGGTCGATTTCAAGTTAGGGCAGGAAGAGCCCCTGGGGACATTGTTTTACAAGACTAGTTCCAAACGGTCGCAGTCGTTCAGCCATCTGATTGGTGCCAGAAAATCTTTGTGTTTTTCTGCCCAATCAGAGTGAAGTGTGCTTTAGAGTCCCGTGTGTTTTAACACGGACATATACTAGTAGCTCAGTTGCTAGCTATGTTTGTTTGGATCGTGCGACGGACATTTGCTTGAGGTGAAAAGTTTCAGTCTCAGCACACAATGTAAGAGAAATCGATCAGATTGTCCGCGAAAATCTTACCGGAAATTATACTGAATACTTTCGCAGATATCATTAGAGAACATGTTTTAAAGTTTGCGAGGTTTGTATACAAGACGATGGTTGCAGTCATTGATATGTCGCTTTAAACGTTAAACGACATTTAAGCTTAAAATCTGTCTAGATTTGTTGCATAATTTTCTGTGACTGAAACTTTGCCAATCCCGTGAAGTTATTTCGTCGCACAGGCCACGCAGGTATGTCGAGCAACTTGCGCTTTCGCCCACGTAGCTTTCTGCTTTCTGTGCGCGCCAAAATCTAATCTTCGCTTTGTAGTAAACTCGTTCACAATACGGCCAAGGTTGCAGGGAACGTTAAGTTCGTGGACGACCTCCAGCAGGCGCTAAGAGTTAGCTTAGGTGCGTTTCCGGTTAGCTAATTAAAATCTGAACAAAAACTAATTAACGAGAACATATATGTGCACGATCCTTCGCAGTAAAGCACTATTTAAGCAATAGTGAAAATCAGACCTGAAAAAAATTCAGGCCTGTACTGGATTCGAACCGCTGACCTCTGCGATACTAGTGCAGCGCGAATGAGAACATCGTGGGAAGGAGAGATTTTTTCGGGCAGTTACCGAAGGGGTTTGGAAAGAGTTTAATCTTTCAACTGCTGCCTCGAGTGTTGAAATTCTTGAGCTAGGAAGGCCACGGATTCTCCTCTAGTCCCTTTGATCATTGGGAATCGATCCGATGCTGCTTTAAATGGGAAAAACAAAACCAATGACCAAGAAATAATGGATGGAAAGGGCGGGTTTGCTTTATTGCAAATGTCAGCTTAGTAGTACAGGGTCATCTACCCACATCTAATAAGCAAAAGTTTCCACGCTTAACTTTTCTTTTTTTTAAGCGAAGATGAGATTAGATTTTGGCACGCACAGAAAGTTGCGCAAGTACCAGTTGCTCGACATACCTGCGTGGCCCCTGCGACAAAATAACTTCACGGGATTGGCAAAGTTCCAGTCACAGAAAATTATGCAAAAAATCTAGACAGATTTAAGTTTAAATCTCGTTTAACGTTTAAAGCGACATATCAATGACTGCAACCATCGTCTTGTATACAAACCTCGCAAACTTTAAAACACGTTCTCTAGTGATATCTGCGAAAGTATTCAGTATAATTTCCGGTAAGATTTTCGCGGACAATCTGATCGATTTCTCTTACATTGTGTGCTGAGACTGAAACTTTTCACCTCAAGCAAATCTCCGTCGCACGATCCAAACAAGCATAGCGAGCAACTGAGCTACTAGTATATGTCCGTGTTAAAACACACGAAAGGACTCTAAAGCACACTTCACTCTGATTGGGCAGAAAAACACAAAGATTTTCTGGCACCAATCAGATGGCAGAACGACAGCGACCGTTTGGAACTAGTCTTGTAAGACAATGTCCCCAGGGGCTCTTCATGCCCCAACTTGAAATCGACTCAGCCCCTGGGTCTCCGAGGATGTTCCAATGATAGACCAGAGAATGAAACGAGTCAGCCTCTTCCGCTTGACGTGAGAAAGTGTTAAGAGCTCGCGTAGAACAATTTTTTTACTTGTTTTTTCCTTTTTTATCTTTTTTTTTCTATTCGAAAGCTTGCCAGGCAAACCGTTTTGGAGACTTTACTGCTATGGATCTTATTTGGTCCTCACTTGACATATCCGAGTTAAACCAAATATTCTTCGCAATATTTTTTTATTCATTAAAATACTTAAATTATATTGTCTTTCACAATGAAATGCAGTGATCATCTGTTATTAATTCCTTCATGGTTATATTAATTAGCTTTTTCTTTGGAAATATTATTCTCATTTGGTACATAAATAGGTAGAAAAAATTGCCGCTAATAGAATATAGCACAAAGCTACTATTTCAATCATGGAAATCGGATTTACAAGCGTTAAGAAGTAGTTACTGTTGTATACATCTGTTCAACATTATAAAGAAATTTGGTGTCGAGAAATTATCAAAATAAAATTAATTATTTTTAAGTTATCATCATCTCAAAAATAAATGTAATTCGTTATTACAGCTATCTAAAGCTTTGGTGATAAATATTTCTGCTCCACATCTGCTAACAGAACTTCGAGAGATAAATTTCGAAATCATTATGCTCAGGTTTACTATAAAACCACACGGGTTAAACTGTCTGATGAAAATTACTTCAATTCTCACTTTTCGCTCTTTACACGCATAAACTATGAACATATATACATATCAATCGAGAATTCTCGCAATTAAAAATGAAAACCAATCGCTTAAGCATATCTGTCCGCGGATAAATTCAATCTGTTCAGATGAATCAACAGTTCATGAAGAACTCGCTTCTGAGGGCAAGTCTCAATTGTACAATGCGCATGTCTGTTCTGGATGCACTCTTCACCCTCCCCTCCACTACACACTGGCTGTTCATTGATACTAGGGAGGGAAGGTATGGTAGTTGTTGTCACAGTAAGCGGCCCTCTGTCCTGCACTAGTCAGATGTTCGATTTCATCCGAGCTCTCAGCATCTGTCGGGTGCGTTCAGAGGACGTGGCTGAGCTGGAAGACATCTGAGGTAAAAAAGGAAACGTTAAAAAAAAAATCAAGCTCAAACATTTCATGATATGCTAGACCACGCAAGGTCTGACTGCTCTCCAGTCTTTCTCGTGGCGCAGCCTTCCTCGGCACTATGGCGATATAAGGGCAGGGGTGTGATGTGTAAGTCGAGAGGAAAGGAAAAAAATTTCTCCTATTTTCTCTTCCTAGCCTTCAACCCTCCTTGTTCCTGCTGGGTTTACCATCACCTCTTCCTACTTTTAAATCTTGCCGAGCTAATATTTGCTAGTCTTCTCAAAGATGAGTTTTGCATCAGAGCCGCCCGTTAGCCTGGCTGTGTTTAAAACGAAAAAAGTTTTCAATGCATCATGGTTTTAAAACGGCTTTGTAACCAGGCCTTTACGGCGGGTTCGTTTGATTTACAGCTCGAAAGCGGTGCTCTGAAAGGAACAAACTAATCGAGTATGTTGCTAACTGAGTATTCTTACTGTGCGAATGAATTATTTGAAGTTTTAATCGGCGCTGTTAGTACTAACAAACAGAGAGCCGTACAACAAATCGCTTTAACTGCTTCACGCTCTTTGATCTGAGGTAAGGCCAGTCTGCGCGAAGAATCACTACGAATCTTGCATGTTTGGTTAGAATTTGCTAGGTTAGAATGATATCGTAGTGTTGAATAGCAGACCTGGAAATCAAAACACGATGTTTGAAGAGGATGAAAAACTTACAGAAAGTAGTCAAACTAAGGACGATAGAGTTTAATAGACTCAACGCACAAGATAAACATTTATATGAAGTAGAAATCAAGTGTATGCTTTTTAGTTGAGAAAAATGTATCGTGAGGAAGACTTAAAATAAACGAAGTGACTTCCCATAGAATAAGCGGGTGTTCAGTACAAACGGACAGCGTTTTCTACAAGGAGGAGTTTGAAAAAAAAAAGACCAAACTGGGTACCTTACCTTTGATGTGTGCGATTTTGTTGACTTCTTCTTTATTTTGGGCAGAAGCACCGGAGCCGAAGCACTGGAAAGAAAAATACGGAAAATGATTCGTGATTTAATACAAATTAGTACTGGCTGAAACAAAATATCAGAAAGATTAATTTGAAACCACTGTGGTACACGTGAATGGAGTTCTAAGATCTCGTGGGTCGGGGGCAGTCTGTACTATTAATAATCACTCTAAGCCTTTATGGCCACCATCGTTTGAGCAAATAAACCAGTTTCTCTTCCCATGAGAATCTTCGTCACTTTAAAGACTTGGAATCAATGGCGCATCTACTTATCCCCTAATTCAACAACAGTCAACTGATGACGAGTCAGGGTAAATGTTGGGTTAGGGAGGGGTGGGCCGAGTGCAGAGTTGCTCATATACTCAAATTGATCCACAAACTTTCTAAGTTCAACTGCGTGTGTGAGAAGAGGAAGCTGTATCTCATTGGCACGGCTCGACAATAACTTTTCAAGTTACTAGCCACGTGGCTAGTGACAACTTGGATGTTACTACAATTTCAGTTTGTTTACTAGCCAAAGTGGCCAGTGGAAATCGGAAAACACTAGCCCAAACTGAATTTCTAGTAGTTTAGTTAGTGTCGAGCCCTGGTTGGCCTTATTTCCATCAAGATCAACTTTGCGAACCTAAAACGAAACTAAACTTTCCAAAATTGTCACTCAAGCCGATCAAAAAATTCAAATCAAACGCGCGGTCGTGAAATAACGTTTAATTTACAAGAACATGGGAGGAAATGGTTGAAATGGGTGAAGAGTGAAGAGTGAAGTAGAATCTTGGGATCGAAAAAAATGAAATAATAAAATAAGGAGAACTAAAGAAAGTTAATTTATATTACCCTGATTCAACAAAGTTCTCAGACTTTGCTATATTCTTACGCCTACAAGAAGGAGCTGACTTACATCGTGGAGTTGTTCGAGGTTTTCTGTTTAACAAAGAGAGAAAAGAGGACAACAAAGACAAAAGATAAAGTAAGGGTAACACAAGTGGAAAGTTAGAGAGGAGAATAAAGGAAATATCAAGACGGCCGTCTCTTGGCGAACATCGAGCGGCAGAATCGCGAAATTTAAAAAGAAAAAAAGAAAGAAAGTAGAGTCAGAATGAGCCATGGATTACAGTAAAGCAAAATCGCCAAAAAAAGAATGAGAATTTCAGTACACCTCAAGTAAAAAAAAATGAGAGATTAGTGTTGAGTTTTCGGAACCAGCGTCCCAAGAAGGACCAAGAGAAAATGTGATACCTCTTGGCCTTAAATGTTGTAACAGCTGATTTGCTCCGCGGAGAATTTTTCAAGATGGAAGCTGTGCTATTCCTAGAAAGGTGAAAAACAAGAAATGGAAAAAGGATAGAGAAACAACTGCATGTGATAAAAGAGCCGTTCCAAGACTGAATTTTGAAGACTTCCGCGCAACGAGTGCGTCGAGGCAGTACACCCAAATTTGGATCAATTCAAATGGGAAATGTTTAAGAACAAGAAAAGTTGCTGTCGTAATACCTTTTGACAGTCCTAGTTGAAGGAGCAGAAGAAAGCCTGGTATTAGTAAGAAAAGATAATGTTAAAAAAATTAATGATGATCTCAAGTGGCCACAGTGCGAGAGGTTCCATTAACTATCAAAGCTTAGTCGGAAGATCGCTCTCATACTAATTTCTTTAACCGCAGTTCAAACAAATGATTTCATATATTCACAAACGTTGGCTCTTCACTACACGGGTTTATTAGAACCAACATAATGACCAGCTCGCAGTTGGCTTGTTAGCTTAGTTGATAGAGCACTGCACCGGTATCGCAGAGGTCATGAGTTCGAATCCTGCACAGGCCTGAAATTTTCAGGCCTTATTTTCACTACTGCTTAAGTAGTGATCATTACTGCGAAGATCGCTCTCATACTAATTTCTTCAACCGCAGTTCAAATATATGATTTCATATATTCACAAAAGTTGACTTAATGGGATCTGTTGTAACATCTCAGGCGCATGCGCGAATAAGAATTTGTAAACAATTTGAAAGGGCCATAAAGAAGGATGGGCACGAAGGTCAGGGAATATAATGACAAGAGAGGTTATAGAAAAAGCTTAAACAAGCTTGGAATGAATTATACGAGCGACGAGGATGGAACTGCAAAGGAAGTAGTCTAGGTTTTGCGCAGAGCAGGAGGAGAATAACCTAAATCCATCGAAGAAAAAGGACCAAACACAACATAAAAAAAAAATGCGCGAATCTCTAAAAACATGCAGCACGTTTCCAGCAAGTACCTAAAAGAAGTCGATGAAGAGTCTGAGTTGTTCAAATCCTTTAGTCTCGTAGCTGGTGCTGAGAAGCGTCTGATAGAAAGAAAAAACGCTCAAGAACAAGTGGAACGCCGAGAATGGACGGACAGGGACATGGCGTTTGAGATCGAGGACGACTTACAAATTCTCTTTTCGATCAAATGTTATTATCAAGAATATCGAAAAAATCTAATAGGGATCCGTACTTTATGTCAATCGTTATTAAGTCGGAATTTAATTGTTTACACCGACCTTGATTTGATGGGTCCGTAGTCCAAATTGAGAGCCGGAGCGGAAGAGGACCTGTACGTTATACCTTGAGGGCAAGCCCACTGTAAGGAAAAAGTCATCTCTCCATCAATTAATCAATAAAGCCTTACATCTCGTGATCAAGCAATCAATCAATCAATCAATCAGTCAGTTCTTCAGTCTATCATTCACTCGATATAACCATGCGTACCATTGATCTGATTCAGTCAATTCAGTCAGTCAGTCTATCAGTCAGTCATCTAGTCGGCTAGCCAGTTACACAGCTGGTCAGTTGGTCTGAGTCAGTCAGTCAGTTAGTCAGTCAGTTAGCCAGCTAGCCAGTTACACAGCTGGTCAGTTGGTCTGAGTCAGTCAGTCAGTTAGTCAGTCAGTTAGCCAGCTAGCCAGTTACACAGCTGGTCAGTTGGTCTGAGTCAGTCAGTTAGTCAGTCAGCTAGCCAGCTAGCCAGTTACACAGCTGGTCAGTTGGTCCGAGTCAGTCAGTCAGTCAATCAGTACTCTAGAGTAAGGATTTCGAACTCATTCTAAATTCTTAGGAATTTCTACTTTCTTTACGAAAATAAATAAATTAATGAATAAATTAAAGCCTCACTTGATGTGTTGGATCCGAGGTGGCACCAATATGAAGTTTCTTTTCACCAAGTGCTTGGAGAACAGCGATTCCTGTGAAAGGAAAAAGACCAATAAAAATAAATACTAACACCATGGTATCATAAGAAACATGGCAAGAAAAAAACACTTTAGACCATAGGGGGAACAAAGTGGGGCACGAATGATATAGACGAATACGGACTGCAAATGACGTGGTTGAGTTTTTTCAGCGGTGACATACACTACACACCGGTGACGCAGATTCTTCTGATTGGATTTAAACTTACCCAAGGCTGTGCTCCGACCCTCTCTCATGTACTTTCTTGTCCACTCGTCCAACAAAATATTGTAGTATCTCTATAAGGAAATTGATGACAAAACAACCGATTGAGGGTGGAGAGAAAGTCAATTAAAAGAGATAAAAATTAAATAAGATCACAAAGAAGTAAACTACGAGCAGTCTTTCCTTTTCGGCGAAGTCCGTCGCACCATTCATTACAAAAAAAGAAAAAGGAAAACAGTGATTAGAAAAAAAAAAAAAAAAAAAAAACAGGTGGTAAGCGCGTCGAGCGGAACTCTGAGAGCGAGGTACATGAAAAGTAGTACCTACCACAGAATCCACGTGGCGTGCTAACATATATTTTCACTGATTTTTTTTTTTACTCGCGCGACGGACTTCGCTGACAAGCAGGGACTGTCCGTGGACTAACGAGGTACTAATAAGTGTCTGTTAGTGAAAAAAATCCTCACCTGAGACTCAAAGAACCTTAAATACTTGTTGGACGACATGGATGGAAAAACTCGCTGGAAGCAGCCTCTTCGACTATTCTGTGTGGGAAAATAGAAACGCACGAGTCAAGCTTTACTATTACTTTAATTAAATACATGGCAGTCTGTTATACAAGATAAAATGAAATTTCCTTTCTCTTTCATACAGTCATAACCAACATAATAAGTGATGAAATTAATGGTTTTTACTGTTCAATCAGAAGAGAACTTGAAACAAATCTTTTTTTTTCAAAAATTCGAATGTACAGTGTACCTCATCTTCTGCCTCCATAAGCATTCTAATATCGTCTGGTGTCAAGATGTCCAGAATTGACTGTTTCGTGCGCTAAAATATATGAATGAAACAGAAGTGGACTGGTTACAAAATTGCGTCAATAAACATCATAAAAACAATTCATAGTTAGTAACGAACGCAGTAAGTGATTATATTGGATTACACTGGTGTTTCTTAAGCTCCAACAGCCCCTGTGATTGGTCTAGAAAATTCCCTTGATTAATAAGACTCAAATGTTCACTAACACCAGTCCCCACGACTTAAACACTCTTGCCTTTCCACGCTTGAAGATTGTTCAAGAAAATTCTCTTGATTAATAAGATGCAAATGTTTACTAACACCGGTCCCCTCGACTTGGACACTTTTACTTTCCGCGCTCGAAGCATTTCCCTTGATTTCACTATAAATTTTCTCATAGACTCATAGCGACATTATCTTTTGTTTTGATTGGCTGTGCGAAACTTGGTTTGGGGTTTTCAGGCAATTTATTCAAATGCCTCCTTGAAAAAGTCAATAAAAGAATCAAATGTCTATTGTCAAATGATGCATCACTTAAAGACTTAAAGTGCTCTGTAATGTGTACCTGGTAATTACGACGTTAACAAGGTAATGTACTGTGTAAATGTCAGTCAGATACTTAAATAGTAGAGGCATTGTGGCACTAACTGAATTATATGCAAGTGACTTGAAAGGAGGCGGTGTATAAGGTGCGTTCTTACCTCATCTAGATGACGTTGAACATAAAACGCATGCTGAAAACACAAGGAAAATAACGTCCAACACTTAACCAAACATATGAAGATACACATTAGAACAATTTGACTTGGTTCCTTGAGTATTTATCGCAAATAATGAAATGTACCTTTAATATAGCACTGATATCATTGGTGGGTTCTAATAAATATTATAACATAAGTGAATATAGTACGCATTGCCAACGTGTTACTGGTCAATTCAGTTTCCACGCGGATGCTTCATCAGGTTATAGTGCCCCGATAAATGAGCTCTATTGCTCAAATAAGGTAGGCTCATTAGTAAGATGATAAAACTAAATGTTAAGATCAGTGCAAGAGAAGTATTAAGTCAGCAACGATCTCCGATACAAAATCAATCGATAGAACTTGTCACACCATTTCCCCTCTTGAAAGAATAAATCTAATTACCATGCATGTAACACATTGTTACAGTAAATTGATACTGGCAAAATAGCAGAAAACATGTTGTTCCAAATATCTGTTGGTGTTTGCCATAAACAACATATATTTACCTTTGCTCTCTCATCTGAAGATAGAGCCGTCACTGCTTTATCTTGAACAAACTGGTTCATGTTACTAGTGCTAAAAACCAAACAGGAATTTGAAGTTCATTAAACATGATACGCGCCCTGCACATACAATGCAACCATTCTGCAATATTACATTAAGGCAAAGTTATGTGCCTCACGATTCATTATATTTCAAACTGCTAGTAATTTCAATTTCTTTCTACTAATCAAATAGTTAGATTGACCTTGATGTTGAAGTTGTGACCAGATTTTCTGGAATGCAAAATCCTGCCAGGTTTAACAAGTCCTTGATCATCTGTCCCTTGATGTTACGGTCCAGCTGGGAAGTGGAGTGAAGACTGGGGAGGAAATTGATGAAGTTTACTTGGTTAACCATAAGTCATTCCCTAGTGATGCATCGACCGCGCATCTTCCTACGCACTTTACTACGCATCTGTCGCTGCGCATCTTAGAACACGTCAGACGAAGAGCAATCATAATGAGTGCTGCAATGTAGTTTTCGTCGATGTCCCACAAGAAACTAAATTAACACAAGATTCGCATTGAAAGTATCTTGAATCTTAACTAAAACAGATCTCCGTTTTCAATAGGAAAGGTAAAAAACGGCAGCCTAGAAAAGGTCATTATACTCAATATATTTCAAATTTTGTTCCTTACTTTTGTTCCAGTATGTATCTAGCAGAAACTTTTCGCATGCTGATAACAATTGTTTGAATGAGTACATAATAACACCATAGAGCTAAGGTATCTGAGTATGGGAAATTTGGGTTGAATGTAAATCCCACGTGAGGTCAATATTTCTGAAAATGACAAGTGCGTGAGTTACCTTGGAGATATATTCACTTCTAGTAACCACGGTTTCAGGTTTTCATCTAACATGACATCAAATCCGAAAAGCTCATGACAGCAAGATCTAAACAATGTTGTAGACGGTAAAAAATTGAAGTTATTACATTCAATACTTACACATGCCTCTAATCATGATTATTATATTTTTATCTTCTAGTAGTTTTTAGCCGGTGGTAATTTTATAATTATCATGTAGTAATCGTTAATTACGCAGGGCTCCTATTGATACCAGCCTAGTGCTGAAAGGGCCACCCTGCTTAAATAAAGATGACTTTGACTTTGACTAACTGGATCAGAGGTCCGAGCGGTAAAAACGAGGTTTTGCAACTTACAGTACGAACCGAAGAAGCGAGGTTAGTAAGATATTGATCATACACGTATCCCTGAGTACCTCCACCCTCCGCTAAATTAAACACCGCTGGTACTTACTGAGAGATATACTAAACTCACTTTACCCTGTAACATGCGACATTCAACTTCTCCCTACTATATCCATACATTATCCTACAAACAGGTAATGAGAATACCTAAACTCATCAGGTAGGAGTTTGAGTCTTGATCTAACACTGACATATCGTAACTAATTTACAAGGAAATGTGCAGCAGCGAGAGGGGAGAATTAACAATCAGGTCTTGAAAAATTGATTATTAAAGACGAAAAGGCCAACCAACTACACTTTCTAACCTTTTCCTCACATTCTGTTTTACCATGGTGTTTACTGCTGAATCAGACCTGAAACATTCACATCAAGAAGTACAATGTTAATAAATTGTCTTGTGCATGTTAGGAAATGACGAAAATGGTGAAAACGCAGAAATCAACCAAAATAGAGACAGGTCTTCAGATTCTTGAATAAGTACAGTGACAGAGTTCAGCAAAATCCTTCGAAAATGTATCCTTCGTGATAATAAACATTTTACGTAACATCGTACATAATACATCGTATTATCTTCACACTTAATAAAACGTTTCCTTCTTGAAAAATGTTAAAATTGATGACGTGTCAATATCCTGTTTTTGCCGCTTATGCCTTTTACGGCCAAACCAACGCAAGTTCACTAATGTGTAAGCTGGTTGAGTTACTGAAGAAACTCGAACTTATAGACTCTTAAAATTGGTATCAAATACTACTTACAGATCAATTTCACGTTGGATTTTACCAAACTTCCAACTCGTGAGAATCCACAACAACTGCATTTATAACCTAACCAAAGTAAAGCGCACGCTCTGATTGGTCAATTTAGCGTCCCCCATTTGCCTATGGGTGTACGCTGCTGACGTGAGCAAATGCAAAGACTATTTTTCCGCGCGTGCTTGTTTTTTTCTGGTCACGTAAGATTTGTTAAATAAAAGGGAACTCTTTACCTACAATGTGTTAATGTTATGTTATAAAACAAATGGTAAACACCACAGCGTACACTATTGAGTTATGGATGCACTTGGGAGGTTTGCTAAGCACTCAAGAAGCTAGAGTCGCTCTCGGCTATCGCCTCGAGCGACTCTTACGCTTCTTTCGTGCTTAGCAACCTCCCGCGTGCATCCATAACTCAATAGTGTTACTTACGCTAAGATGGCTTTGACGACTAAATCCTTTATTGTCTCCCAAACATGAACGTGATTGATGTTCATTCGTTTCATGTAACCCCAAAGAGCTTTCAAACTCCTACAAACAGAAGCATTACGTTTAATTAGAAAAATAGAATGGTTTTTTTTTTTAATTGACACCTATAAGAAAGGTTGGGGTCAAAATTAAATATTGATGTATTCCATATTTTAAATGTATAATGCTCGGAGGTACTGTCAGAATAATTTTTAGACGACGGCGAATATCGTCCGTGGAGTTGCTAAAACGGAATATGAAGCCAAGACAATTCTCTTGTTCCCCGCGACTTCTCCGCTCTTTTTCGTTGTTCTGCCTCATAACAACTCCGGCGTCACGTGTCTTCGCATATTTGACAGGTGTTAGTTTAAATCTTCTACGTCCTAACTCTAACATTCACATTTCCCCACTTTTCTCTATACGTTTTCTTTAGTACTGTCAAGAAGAATTTGTTTGAAAAACAGGAGCTTCTTCAATTGATGATCATTTCCCGTATTCTGATGACCTTCACATTTGATTCATTTTGATACAGTTATGAGAAATTAGAAGCCAGTCATTCTGAATAAAATAAGTCACGCGAAAACTTCTTTGTTTCCCCATTTCGGGTGCCTCGAAACGAGTTTCGAGGGTCTTGATACTTGACTCGAGCGTCTCGAACTCGACTTGAGCCTCGATTCTCGAGGTTATCAAGAAGCGAGGATCGAGAAACGAGGAATCGAGAATCGAGGATCGAGTTTAGAGGGAATGTCACCTTACGTTTAAGCTGTACTGTACAAGTGAATGTACCTACCATTTGTGTCCCTGACAAACAGTTTCATCAGAGTTCGCTTGGTAAGCTCCTTCGTTCTTCTTATTGATGCTATAATTTGTCAGATGCATGAACTTGTTGCTCAGACTTTTCATGGATGATGAGTACCTTGAAAACAAAAGAGAAATGGAAATCTTAGGAGTAGCACTGGACAAATAAAACTAATCACAACTGACCATGCACTCATTTTTTTAACGTTATCCTTGTGTCTTCCAAAACTTACTTGCATGTTGCAAATCTCACAAGTCCATCTTCGAAGACATAAATCCTGAGTGGATCATATGAAGTGAAATAGACATATATTCGAAGGTCAAACTTGCTTCCATTGATAAGAAATGGTTTGGCAAGGTACCTAGAAGTACACAAAAATGATAGAAATGATTAATCCTCTTGCAAACATGCTTAATACTGCTATAAAGATATCAGAACTTTTAAACCAGTTATAGTCTCCAAAAGCTATTACGTATTCAGTGAATTAAGCTACATGCACATGTGGATTACAATTCAACAAATTTACCACTGCAGAAGAAATGTGAGATTTACAGTCTGATTCAATGTTTAAGTTTATCATGGAGGTGTGCTGAATCTTTGTGAAGGAAGGAATGAAGAAGAGAGAGAGCAGTACTTGGCTCTGCTGCAGGGATGGCTGTCGGCCGAGAAAAAAAAAATCCCCAGACTTGAAATGACTCCAAAGGTTGTGGTATCTCTTTACCATGTAAACACAATGTAAGTTACAACCTTCCAGTTCCTAATGTTGAGTATTATCTATAGATACAATACAGTGTATTAAGTATTTAAATATATTCAGAGAGAAATATTACAGTAACTGTACCTCTGAACAATAACAGGTCTCTTCCTTGGAATTTGATTCCACTTGTGAATCACACGGATTCCAATCCCTCTGGCTGAAGCAGGCTGCAGATAAGAAAAATCAGAGTTACAAATTAAACGATATTGAACATGCAAATAAAGTGCTGTCTTATCATCAATGATAATCACCCTACGGACCTCTAAAAGGGGTATAGCTCATGCACATCAGGCTGCACCATCAATCATCATTAACAAGACCAAGTGATAACGATCAATTCAAGTTTAAAAGCACAGTTGTACAATATGCCTCAAGTGTTAGTGGCAGTCCTTAAAAAGGGGGTTCTACATCTACACATAAAATAAATAAAACCCTTAACAGATGACAGTACAAGGCCTTACTAGAAATTGTAGATTAATGCTAGTAACAGGCTTATATGGTAAACATTGATACAGTACTCCAGAAACGATATAATTACACTAGTGCTACAAAAACTGCACATAGTGTAAAATTGCAAACTTTTTTTTAGATATTCAGGGTTTTTAGATATACCTGTACAACACAAAAAAAATACTTCTTACCGGCTTGAGAATCCATTTCTGTCGACTGCTAGCATCATCCCACGCCCTTTTGAGTAATTTCATGTCATAAGGAAGAACATAGGTTTGTGGAACAAAGCCATAATCCTGTAGAAAAGTCAGCAAAGGCACCAGTTGATCAAATAGAATATGATGTATTTAATGTATATACTTTATTCATTATAAATGCAAGGCAAATCAGCTCAATTCCTTGACTTAATATTATTGCTCAACACCTAGGATTTACAATGATAATGTTTTGAATTATTATCTTCCCTACATTTTATGCAATTTGACTTGATCACTGAGGGCACATCTCTATGATGGCATTAGGGAAAGAGGCTTCAGAACTCTCACAGTAAGCAAAATTTTTTTGGACTGCTCAGAGCTTGACACTTAACGGTAGCCAACTAGCTACAGACTAGTAGAAATTCATTTTGGCTTGCGGTTTTCAATTTCCATTGGTCAGTTTGGCTTGTAAACAAACTGAAATTGTTTTAATGCATAACTTGTCACAAGCCACTTGGCTGGTAAGTTGAAAAGTTATTGAGCCCTATTGTTGTGTTAGCATTAGCCGGTTTGGCTGGTAAACAAACTGAAATTGTTTTTAACATCTAAGTTGTCACTAGCCACTTGGCTAGACTAAGTTGAAAAGTTATTGTTGAGCTCTGTTGCTGTGTTAGTTAAACATTATTTTAGAAACAGTTTGAGATAACCATACTTTTTTTCCATGATGCACTATCATCCGAGAGAGATTTCTCCACAACCTGTCTTTTCTCCCAATTTGAAACGTACCAGGAAAGTGGTTTACCTAAAGAGAAATATAACCTTACTAAGGCAAAAACTTAGCATGACCATGCATGCAGTACCACCTACATGTACCAGGCACTATACATTTCTTGCTTGCTTTCTGAGTGATATGTGTCTGAGCTCTCAGAATTTTCCTCCCATCTTCAAATTTTGGTGAGGTCAAACAGTTTATCACCCTCCATAAAGCCTGGGGAAATACCCTGAGAAGAACTGAAAGTGGTCCTCTTGATCAACCTAAAAATCTGTAGGTTACTTAGTACTTAATTACCATTATTATAAAGAAGCAAGACTTCATTACAGCAAAAAGGCTGTGTTATTCAAAGCACACACTTTTAAGCTAACCAAAGGTAATGGCCAAAAGTTTAGCTCTGCAGACAGTTAAAATTGTTTTTTTCCTTCAGTTTTGTCTCACACTAAGGGAAAACTCCTCAAAATGCAAGCCCTGATATCAACACTTTATTTTCCAAGAGAATTAGAATTAATAAAACTTTTCATTCTGGATTATCACCAATGGCCTTTTGGGCAGTTACCAGCCATTTACACAGTGTCCTGGAATTTATTACTTAGATGTATAGTCAAGATTCAGTAAAGTTGTACAAAACTTTAAACTTATAAGAATTTTCATTTCCAGATTTCAAAAAAAAAAATATCAAACAATTTTTCTTACCAGTTATACTAAAAAAAAGTTCACTACTTACCTTTTGATATTCTCTGACAGTTTTAAAACAGGTCGCCTTCATGTGTTTGCCCCAGTATCCTAACCAGTCATTTCCTGCTTAACAGTATACAAATTCAGTGAAAATAACAAATGAATTTCAAAGTGAAGTTTACAAGTAGATTTAAAACTAAACACCTTTCACAGGCATCTTTGGTGAGATGTGCACTTTTCATGAATACAGCATCAATTTTAAGAACTACAAAAATGCTGAGTCAGTATTGTTAGGCTAACATATCCAATATGTCAGAAGCAATAGTCTGTTTCCTTCCCTTCATTCTACAGAAACCAAGATACTCTTTATTGTAAGGGCTATTATAAAAGCTCTGATACAAAACATTAGCATATTAATAAGTCTTCCAGCACCAGCTTCCCTTTCGGTACATTAGCAAGTTTCTGTTGCTGATCAAGCCATGTAATCTAAACTTCATGTAGTTTTTTCAGAACTGTACAATAGAGCAAAAATGAAAAGATTTTAAATAGATTTAGATTTAGATTTATTTAGCTTCACCGACCGGCAGGGACAGTACCGCAACAGCTTGATGCCACAGTGTACATTGCACTGAGTACACACATACGGTAGCTTTGTTTGAGTACACACATACGGTAGCTTTGTTTGCCATACATATAAAGACTAAAAATTGTAATTATAGTGAGATTAAACCTCCTTCATGATCAGGTTTGCTGTCATGTACAGTATAGGCCCTTCATCTTTTACATTTTAACTAAGCTATTTTGCAGTCATAAAAAGACAATTAAGGAGACTATGATTATAATCAGCAACTGAATAAAAACTTACTCTTCGTTGGTTTAAAGCCAGCTCTTGCAATACACTGTTTAATAACATTTGGTGTTATCGAACTCATCTTCCATCGGAGAAGTTTTCGCAGTTCAGGGGAAAGTTGACCCACTGCAAAAGATGATAGAGGATTATATCCTTATGAACCATGTTATAATAATCATAGAGAAACTATTCAGCCTACAGGTACACTGTACATTTAATGCTTAAAATAAAGTTTTAAAATACTATTTATTTAATCACTTTCACCAGAGTGTGGTGAGGGTCGCACAACAGAGCGAGGCTCCAAATTAAGTGTGCGCAATATCCCACCCATCCCACCCCAGGGGAGGACATCCATTACACAGTAATCTCATGTGTGGGAAATTAACGTCTCTTACCCCAACTCTGCAGGAGATGGGACCTCCATTTATTCGTCCCCATCCAAGAAGACTACAATATCTAGCCATTTCTTGATGTTATAGAAAGGTAGCAAATTCTTTTCAATTATTTTAAGATCCTGAGTGTTGGTCCGGCCGGGACTCGAACCCTCGACCTCCCGCACAACAGTCCAGTGCTCTATCCATTGAGCTAACTGGGAGGCAGTTAGCTGACTTTAATACTGATTTTGCTTGCAGATTAAATGACATTTTGCTAACAATTTGTGTTCCATGACTGTATATAATAAATTGACACAATTGTACGCAGCTAAACTGAGCTTGATAAGACAACCTTCAAACTAAAAAACCAAAAGGCTGGAAACACCTTCAGTCTATAGTTGCAGATAATAATTCAATGTCCTGTCTACAAAATTAATTCTTGATTACACAAATTTAAATCCTGCTAATATTAGTTCATTATAAACCATGTATATTGTTTGTGCATTATAAACATAAGTTATCATAAATCATTGTAGGACAAATTAGGAATGTGCCTGTACATACACGTTGTTTACAGTTAATTACCTAGTGTAAAATTAACTATATTATTTTATGATCATAAAAAATCACACATTAGTTAGGGGAAATTCGAAACTGCAATTTCAAGTGGAAAACTTGAACATTTAACCCAAGTTGACGAAGCTAGCCACAGGGTCATCAATATGGGCTTTGATCTGCAACACATGTTATGGATGAAGATATTGATTTGCTGTCAGGTTACAGTACATTTGACCACATAATTTACACTGAGCACCACATGTCATATCTCTAGTTTCTGCTTCAAAACTTAGTGACACTGCAGCCTTGCTGGAGGAAACATAACATCTTAAAACGCAAAAATATAAATTTGAGTGAGTTTACCTGTTTCTCCCTCAACAGAAAAGTAGATGGTTGGAGATATATGAGGAAATAGGCTGGGTACTAGTGGTGGAATTTTCTCTTGTTTTTCATCATCACCAGTTGATGCCCACGCATTTGTTTTTTTGGATGAGACTGAACTTGGTTGGGATGATCCTACTGTACCAGACCATCTACGAGTACTTAATGTCAGTGGTCTTGCACTTGATGCTCTACTTTTTGCAGTAGAAATACGAGAAGATGCGGCTGTGCTGATCAGTGACTGAGAACCATCATCATCATCATCATCATCATCGTCATCATCATTGTCATCAATGTCAGAAGAGCCTGCTGCAATTATAAAAGCAACATTTCTTACATCAGGGCATAATTTTAACCTCCCTTACATTGTGCAAAAACTAATGAAGTCAACATCATGTTTGGACAGGTATTAGAAAAATTGAATTGCCATCATCTAGGCAATTCACTTGCTCAGTGACAGCACTGGTTTACTTTTGAAAAATGAGTGTATCATGGGTAAAAGAAAAATCTTCACTATTCCTTCAAATTGTCTACTTGTTTGTTTGATTCAACTAATTAGTTTGGTAATAGGACAATTCTAAATACCACAGTTTGAGAGATGAGTTTGTCATTTCACAATATCTCTTTCAAGAGGTTTAACTGTAAGTCAGTTGACTTTGTGAAAAAGACTTTAAAATTTAACATGTACAAGTTAATACCTTCATCAAGGTCATCGCATTCATAGAAATCATTGTCATAGTTCCCCTCCACAGACTCATCATTATCATTATCATCGTCATCATCATTCTCTTCCAAGTCACCGTCTTCTTCTGCATCTTCATCTTCTTCAGCGATGTCAGAGATGCATCCATCCCCTGGCATACGCTCCCAAGACGGACACCTTGACTTCTCGTAAAATTCCTCATTATCCAGTGATTCTCCATCTCCGCTAACCCTGCTTTCGTCAACAATACTGTCTAGTTTTCTAACATCGTAAAACTTTCTAACCATAGATTTCTTTCCATGAGGCTCTGTAGGAGGCACTGGCTTAATGTGCTTGCTATCAGCTCCTCGACTGTTCTGAAAGCCGACCGACTTTCGATTTTGAGGGGGATGTGGTATAAACCTGAACGATTTTTGCGGCCTTATCGGCTGCGTTTTGAGAACAGGAGGCGTTGCTTTTGCTCTGGATAGCCTGCTCAATTGATTAGTTATTTGGATCCCGTTGAGCTTCGAAGATAGAGCTTTTTCAAGCTGTTCTCTGGAATTCATGACTTTGTCCTCACGAGCACCCCTCAGTAAAATGCAGAAACACAAACCATAGATGTGACGCCTTCGAGTTGCTATGCATTCACTTCCAACGACGTGCGAAGTAAATAAATTGTTTTAAGCTAAAAAATTTAGCGTAATCGACGCATTCAAAAAAGGTTGAAATACACGCTTGGAAGTGATAACTGTTAGAAATAATTACTGTGACAAAAAAATTCTCTGATGGTGGAATACAAAAGATTTATCCCAGGCAACGTGATCGTTGAGGGTTCGAAAAAGTCAAGTCATGCCATGCATTGTCACACAAATGAGAGTTACTCTAACTGGAGAGGATAACAAACACTTCTTGCCGTTGTCGATGACTTACCGAAGAACAAAAAGAATCTGAAATAAAATGTTTTTGTCAAGAAATAAAAATTAAAGCTGGTGCCACCAGGTGTACAGTGTAGATGCTGAAAAACAGATGGTTGGATCTGGAGGTGATCGAAAGCGAAATATTTTTGCGTTGTGTCTTAATTTTCGCGCTAGAGGTTGACTTCCTGGGGACCTGAATCCCCTTTGATGAAATCTTGACGACTGTGAGATCCAAAGCGAGGTTAGACTTTGATTTCTGACGTCTTCGCACTTTCAAATACAGCAGTCAAAACCAAAACAATCCTTTACTTACGCTGGTTTGAATACTTGAAGAACTCTTCACTATCAACAATTTGACGTTATAATTCTTACGTCAATTAATTTCTTGATTAGCTCACAATATGTACTTTAAGGCCACAAAATTCTTCTGCAGAATCCAGTCTCTACGGGGAACTTCACAAATTCGTTGATATCGTCCTTATCAGTCGTTATTTACTCTTGAAATTTACTCCGATGATCAACTTTTAGACGGTGTAAACGATAATGAACCAAATAACGGTCGTTGATGGTTAAAATCACAACGCTGTACCTTGTAAATAGCTTCCAGATTCGTAAATGCAGTTTGGTGTTCCTTTAACGAAAGGAACGAAACCAAAAGCCAAGATTTAGCAGCCCACATAAAGCAACGCTCGAGAATATCGAAACTCGCTTCATTTCTGCGCCGGGTAAATTGGGCAAACTTTGTTAAAAACCATGGCAACGAGCTAGCCAATCACAGTGACCCGCTTTAAGTTCCCCACACAAAGGCAAAACTGTCCTTCCGATTGTCTTCAATTTGATTTCATACAATTGTGTTGTAGCAGTATTTAAACGGAAGATTAGCAAGCAGGTACGAAGCAAAAAAATTCAAATCTCTCTGTATGCAAATTAGACTTCGGCTGGTCGACGAAGAGTTATTTTACAATTTTAAAAGAGATCATGTTTCTGACACTTGAGTGACAAAGAAGGAAGTTCTGACCGGTTCAATGTTTCCTCTTCAAATATTAATGGTATCCTATCAATATGGGTATTGGATGGAAAATATAAACAAACCAGTAATTTTGTTTTACTGGTATGCAGGCGATACTTTTATTGGCTGATCAAAAATACACGCGCTTCCGTGTGGGCTCGAATCTACAAATCTTCAATTTGAAATTGAAATTGACATTGAAATAGTCCATTTTACAGTTGTGTGCTTGGTTGCCAAGCCTTTGAATGGGAGTGAGGCTAGGGTTGACCTTGTTATGATACAAACCTTGCTGCCTTTCAAATGTAAATCACTTTGTTATCATGCTAACTAGATACAGGTCTCTATCACAACAAGGTCACCTTCAGCCTCACTCTGAATCAAAGGCTTGGCAACTAAGTACACAACTGTAAAATGGCCAATTGATAAGGGTTACGGAAAAGTTTCTTCAGATCAGCAGTCAGAAAAACTCAACGAAGGGTAATTCACACTCATCATTATAACAACGACAACGATTATAATAGTGCATTATTCGATTTTCAAGCATTTCATCATAATTTTTTTTGAAAAATATTTTGTGATAATAGTAAATAAAGGTTTAAAATATTGATAACAATAATAAAGATGATAATATTAATATGATGATAATGATTATGGTGATGGTTATAGTAATTATGAGTGTTATATACCAAAACAGTGGATAGCGCTGCAGGTGCGGTGTGATTGGCAACTCAAACTCTAAACATCCTTCCAAGTAACACCGAGAATATTGTAGTCGTTGCGGAAATAAATATGGATGAATCAATCTTTTTGTGCCATATTTAAACTATCTTTGTCATATTTTCAGTATATGCTAAATCAGCTATTCATCTTAGTGTCAGTGGACAACGGTGGATATTTACCTCGCAGCTTCGCGGCTAGCGGTGCCTCGCACCACTCGGCCGCTAGTCACATACACTCCGACGAATGAAATAGCATAATTTTTTTTTAATTGAGGAAGGAGTGGGGGGAAGGGAGGGGGGAAGGGGCAAAGGGAGAGGGGAATGGAGGGGGGAAGGAGGAAAGAGGGAGGGGAAGGGAGGGGGTTCTAGTGAAGATCGTCTAAACAAATTTTGTCAGGAAGGCGGTTTTAAGAAGCAAAAGCTAGAGTTGTACCTACGCGACAAAGTTCAAGAAAAATTTACTCCAAATTTGATGCAAGTTACTATTTTGTATTTTGAGCATGTTCCATGATGATAAACAGTTTCTAAGGTAGATGTTTACGCATTCTACACCAAGAACCACACCAAATCAGCGATGTGGCTAGCTGCGCGGCATTGGGTCTCATGTGCACTTCGGGAATTTTCGTTGACAACACATAGAAGAGAATGTTGATTGGGCGCCAAAGGTCCAAACGAACGATGCTAAAGTCTTCCCAGCACGCAATAATGGGCGAGAGATTCGAAAGGGCGGTGGGACTTTTTTGTAATTTTGGCCTTAATTAGTTAGCTGCTGGTTCAATGGAAGTTGTTCGAGATAAGGGGGGACAAAAAGTCACGTGAACAGTTTGATTTCTTCAGAGCCCACCCCTGCCGCGCGTCGTCTGAGCTGAATTTTTTTCTCCAAGGTCAGTTTGCCTTTTCAAGCCGGTCAAAATAGAAAAAAAAAAACTTTCCAACATTTCATTGGAACCGAAAAACAAGCTTCATAAATCGCTCAAATATCCCAAATATCCCGGAGAGTTAATCCGAACGTTAACACTTCCTCGTTCCCAAGGTCTCTCATCTTCCTGCACCTTCTCTCGCTCCATGCCAGGGGGCGGGAAGATGAGGGACCCTGGGAATGAGATCTGATGCTAATGATGAAGCACGTGAACTGGCTTTTTATCGGTGGATCGAAAGGGAAAAAGAGTGACAAGATGGACCTTGCAATAGAATGAAGCTGTAGCGTGAGTCTTTTAACTGGTACGTTTAATTACATTCATTAATATTAAAAATCAAAATGAAACACAGGAAATCGTGTTAAAAAGTCAAAATGAAAATAGTCAACTTTAAAAGTTCACAATTTTACAAATTTGATGTAACAGAAATTTGACAGAACAAACTTTAGGCAATTACGGCACTTTCTTATCCTTAGTGAAGTTGTGCCGTGACGTCATACTTAATGATTTCCAGTCTCTATGTCTGTTCGTCTGGTTAATCATCAGCGCTCATATGGTTTCATCATAAAGAAAAGTGACGCATGCGGCCAGAGAACCACCCAACATAAACCACAGCATTTGAATCGCTGTTAATGCAGTTGCTGGAAAAAGCAAAGGTGTCAAAAAAAAAATAAAATAAGAAGAACGAAGGAAAGAAAGAAAAAATAGGAAAGCGAAAAGGAAGATAAGGGAAAAAAGACGAAAAGAAAGGAAATTGCAAACTAAAACTGAATTACAAAATACCTAAAATACCCTACCTAAATTTAAAATGCCTATCACCTAAAATTAAAAAGAATTACCTCAAAAACGGAATGAAAGAGTTATGAAAAAGGGAGAAAATGAGTAAACAAAAGAAAAAGACAGCAGCGCCAAAGGCGAAGAACTCAGCTACATGCAGTGATTCTATAACCGCTTACGACACCCTCATTACAAATGATTCTGTATCAGTGCATCTGATTGGACGAAAATAAAGCCTTTCGATTGAAACACGGAAAAGATGACGTCACTTTAGATCTATCCAGCTTCACCTAAGAAAAATACAGCGTAATCGCAAAAAAAGATAAAAATTTCATAATGATAAGAAACTTTTTCAGATCTGCTTTTCCTTCCTTTAAGCTGACCTTAATATATTATGATACAAGAGAAGTATTTATATGATCGTGCAAAGGAAAAATGATTAAATGGTACTTAAGGCAAAAAACGAAAATATTTAGAACAATACAATTATATAAATTCATCGTAGTTATATATGTACATGAAAGAATGTTCGATAGCTGAAGTAATCTCAAGCTAAAGATTCAAAGATAACACCTGAATGATTCTCTCCAAGAAAGAACTTTGCATTGAAAAATGAAACGACTAGCTCGAAGTGATCTCAGAATTTACAGATTTACAAAAGACTTTTAGTCATATATAAACATGTTACAACATAGCTCAGACCAGAAATATGGAAATGCTTTTGAAATCGAAATTGCAAAAAGGAATGCAAAGGGCAGAATTAGCCAATATTATCCGTAATAAATAAGAGTAGTGAAAGTGATCTGAGACTAAATCATAACAAAATACGTAAGAAGATCACGTAAGTAGAACCCAATGCATTTAATTCAAGAAAATGCACATTTTTTACTTTTGATGAGGTTTGCCATTCAGGCCATGTTGGCCAACTTGAGGATAAGATCCAAGACATTCTTCACCTGAGCTCTGTGCTCTTTTGTTTTCTTCCAACCTACCACAGAAAACGTAAAAGAAATGATATACCATATAATGAAAGGTAAGTCAAAGATTGCACAAAACACACAATGCTTGGGTTACGAACTAAAACGATTTCATGGAGAAAATAGCTTTAAAAAAATCAGACTCTCACTTTTGACCTCAAGCAGGCATCTCAGGTCTTCACGTAAGAATTTCAAACACATCTTCGGGTTTTCTTGTTTGCAACTAAATACAAAAGGGACGAAAATGAAGGCATTTCAAAATGATAAACTTACAAGTATAAAATACAATATGAATCATTAACGTTCAATGATAGCGCAAAATTATTGGAGAACAAAGTGCCTAATTCAAACGCATTCTGATAAAGGAACGTTTAATAGTTTTATCACGATGTCAGTAAGAGTCAGGCTAGTCAAACGTGCGTGTTATTGAATTCAAGTTACTATCTCATTCTTGGGCTTATTCACTTGTTCCAAACTGTCGGGCATGATTTGAAAGAGCTTCATGGCATAGACATGTACTTACAGAGCAAAAAGATCCTTTTTCCTTTTGTTCAGTTCCGTTCGGAACTTGTTAAGCCCCAACCAGTCAAGCGATAAGCTTTGAAACTCGGCCTCACAATCTACAAGCGGTAGAGAAGACTGCATCTAGTTTGTGTTCAATTAATTAGATATGCATTACCCGCCATACGGTGCAAAAGGTATGACCGGATATTTGTTCGAGATGACCTCTTCCAAGGCCGGGGCGAAACCTCTCTCGATTGGAGCGTAGCGTGAGGGAAACTGAAGGCTTTTAATCCCAGAAATATTCCAGTCAAATCATTTTCGAGGTTTAAACAGATTCTGAAAGGAGAGTCCGTCCGCAATTTTACGAGAAGGAACATTTGAAAAGAAGTCAGGGATTTCAATGAGTGGCTCTCAAATATGTCCGGTTTTTCTGTATTTTTTCTGTATTTTTCTGTATTTCTCAAAAAGCCATATAAAAAAGTTGAGATAAGTAATTCTGAATCTCAGAAAATGAGTTTTATAAAGTTTGATGGGCCAAATTAACGCCAAGGCGCATTTAGGTTTGCCGCTTTAATTCGTTTTGATTTACAAGTAATGATTTTTTTGGCCTATTTGTTCTTTATTTTGACTCACGAAAATAAAAAAAAAAACAGGCAAAACTTACCTTCAGTGTCCATTGCTTGTTTCATCTCTGATTCCAATTTAACCATCACCTTTAGCAAAGAAAACAACTCGCTTTCGACAACCTGAAGTTCTGCGTCCGCGTAAATGACCAACTCTGGGCAACGATTACATGCATTGGAGGCTAAAGTAAATAATAAATGCACTCCAATTGTGAAAAGAGAAGGCGAATATAAACACAATGCGATGAAGTTAACACTGAACTAGCTGAATCTAGTCAATTTATCGTGAAAGAACGGTATCTTATGCAATTAACACATGCATCTTCGGATGCATTGCTATTCTATGAATCAAACTACTGGCAGCAATCAAGAATGTTTACTCGCGGAAAGACTGGAATTTTCCTAATCACTTTGTTTCTCGCTTCGGCAGATGAAGATACACCGTGAAGCAACTTAATAGTATTTTTCCCACACTAGTATCTATTGAGTAGCATTCTTGCAGGAAATGGATTTGATATCTCCTCTTTGTTTCAGTACTTGTTGTGAACAAATACTTATAACTTACCACAGTCGCCTCCACCCTGGCGCTCTTCAATAGCATTTTCCTCCTCTGAAACTTTTGCTTGCTTGAGAATTGTTCTCTCGTAAACATTTTTAAAGTCTTTGGAAGTCGAAGCATCGACGTTTGTTGACCCGAAATTTGCAGAATCATCATCGTTTTTAGTGGAAGGGAAATCGACCGAAGAGACTTCCTTACCAGAAGGGAATAATTGGGCTTTTGAGACACCGGAATCCTCTCGGTTAGCCTGTGCGTCCTTTTCATTGTTAGCAGCCAAACGTTGCAGTGCATTCTTTACGTTTACCTCTTCCATTGCAGCTGTGTTCACCACAAACTGAATATCTTCCAATGAAGAAACAGACCACTTGTCAGAAGTTTCTGTTGACTCCGAACATGAAGAACTTCTTCCCCAATCGGTACCATTGGACGGATTGCGTTCAATTGGGTGTTCTTCATTCTCAGATTCTTTTCGTTTTCTTCTACGCCTTTTACGACGAGTGCTAGAAGACATCTCGTTAATCTCGTCAGCATCACTGGGTGGACATTCACTGTCTGCCTTTGGATATTCTTGAATTTTAGATTCTTTTTGTTTTCCTCTATGCCTTTGGGGACTAGAACTGAAGGCCTTGTCGCTGTTCAGCGAGGAAAAGTCGTTATTGGTTGTACTGTCGCAATTTGCAAACGGGTTCAGTTCCTTTCGATATTTGAAAATCTCGTTTGCCTTCTTCTTAGCACTGCATGTTCCTTTGCCAACTGCATTGGATGCAGTGGCATCGTTTTTGCTAGGTTGTTTTATAGTCGGTGGTGGGGGGCGAGCTGGACGTGGTCGACCTGGTGTGGGTGGACGGACTGGAATAGGAGGAGATGGAGCAGGCATGTCAGAAGTAGGTGGATGTGCAGCTTTTCTGTTAACCGTTATTGGTCCTGATCTTGTTTTGTTGCTTTGACACGAATTCGCCTCAGGACCATCATCTTTGGTGTCGGCATGGGCCTTCTCTTCCTTCTTTTTCTCATTATCTCCTAAGACGTCTGAAAGTGAAGCACTTGGAGCAGTATTAGCCTTTGTGGCGGCCACCTTGGAACAGGGAGCACTGCTGGTAATATCTCTACTGCGGTTGTCATTCAGGAAGTTCTTTAGGGATCCTGGACGCGACAATTTTCTGCTTTCTTCATTCGTGGTTTCTTCGTTGTTGAGGAGACTGTAGGATAATTACGAGGATATGATGAACTCATGCTATTAAAGGATGTATCGTAATGATTCTGGGATTAAGAAACTAAAATTTGACCTAGTTTTATGAACTTACCTTATCTGTAATCCTTAATTCCCTCAAAGGTGGTAAAATTTCTTGCTAATTTTAGTAAATGGCGTTTCGAAAATTTGTGTCGTTTTCGATATCTTGACACCAGTCAACGTTTTTTCCGAATCTCGCAAATATTTTTCAGGACTTTCCTTTGTCAGTGATATTAAAAAAATCCTTCATCGACCTCTTCAAACTGCGATTTGGCGCTTTTTAGTTAAGAAAAAAACCCTGGTGAAGGTAAAAAATTCTTCTGAGTAGTTTAATTTTTATCGCAGCCGGCTATATAGCAAACTTTCTGATATTTTCTTGCCCGCCTATATATTTTTACTTGTAACGGCTGATGTATTCTTTCCCTAACTCTAAAGTACAAAGGATAAAAACTTTCTCCTATAGCTCTATGACACCTGTATTCATCAGTGATGCCTTCCGAAGGGTGTCTTACCAGTTGTCTTTGGCACATTCGAGAGTCGGAGAAGGAGCCAAAACTCTGAAGTATAGTTCTCGCTGGTTTTTACCTCGACCTTTTTTCCGAATTTTCTTCAAAAAACTCATTATTACTTCCGTTTGGTCAAAACGATCATAGGCGTTTCATATGAATGAAAATCTTCTTTTTATCCATTGTGATGTCATGTAGCCATGACGATAGCTTTTCATTCTCATCTTCGAGTGTGCTACGTCATTGTAAATAGTTCTTTCAATATTTCACAGAACAGAAAAGAAAGCTACTACGTTATTTGAAATAGATGATAAGTTGACATGGCACTTTAGGTAGCTTTCACCGTAGAGTAAAAGCTGTGACTATGCTAAGCTGATTTGCGCGTGCAAATGTCCTTAAGTTATGCGCGATGAGGATGCGCACAGTAAATACCGGATACAGACAGAAAATTAACTCAAAACCTTGAGGGCTTTTTAAAAATAAACAAACCGTTGGCAGTTTACACGTTGACCACATAAGAATGATATAGATTAAAAGCATTGTTGTCCGATGGATTTTCCCCTGAAAACCAGATATAGAAGTGACAGCGAAGTAAATCTATTCCATAAGGCAAGAAGACAACAAAAAGATGCCGTTTTTCTTTTTTTCTTCATTTGAAAATATCCTTCCTCTGATACCGCCTCGTCTAATTTAAATTTATCTTCGTTATTTGTAACAAGGGAACTGTAAAGTCTTAATTGCCAAACGTTAACTAACCATAGATCGGGCGCAGAAGGCCGTGTGCTCGGGAGTTCCGCTAATGTATTTATAATTGCAATTTTTTCCTCTTCCCTCGCTCCCTTTGGTGAGCTTTTGTTGTATTTGTACATGACGTGCGTTATCTCATCAATGAGCCAATCATGTTAAGAGACCTTGAAATTGACAATGAATTTGACGTGGACACTTTCGAAGTTAAGTAAAGGTTTTTGAGCTTTTAGTTATCGAAAATCTTTCGCTTTGCTTTGGTTTATAATTCAAGACTTTTCGAACCAAATGTACTTAACTTCATACAGTATTAGTACATCTTCATTTACAGAGATGGATTCTAGCCTCTTCATTGGTAAAAAAGGGTTTCAGTCGGGGTAACCGTTCGCCGTAAAACGGCCCAAATCTTGACCATTGAACGTAAAAATTGACAAACTTTAACCGTTCGCCGCAAAATCCATCACCCTATTGAGATCCTCGTAAAAGACATGAGTATTTAGACAGAGAACGGACAACGTTTGTCAACATCCTGTCAAACATCTCAAAATAAATAAATGTGGAAAGACCCTGAAGTCCTTCCGTTCTGAATTGCATTGTTATGATTTTTGCAAAGTCTGACGCGTCTCTAGGCTCTGCTCGTTCGCACGTTTTCAATTCTTCCCCAGAAAAGCATTGATAAAGAGGACTATCCAGAGGTTTGAAAGCTAACTAAATTTAACTGAGAGAGAAAGAAAATCCTTTTTTCAGTCGCTCACCATTTTTTCTTCCGTAATTCATCATTCAGTAGCGAAACATGTGAGGTGACCAAAACCCGTTGCCTGTTGCTTTTTCCCGACGAACGGTTTGAGAACACAAGCCATAAATCTTTCAGACGAACCGTAAGGATATCTATTTCGTTCATTGCGATGTTACGTTACCATGAAGATGAATGCTTCGAGGGTTTGCAACAATATGAATTTCTCCGTAACTATAGAAATACAGCTATCTAAATAAAGAAACAGTCGAAGATATGAAGCCAGAAGTGTCCAGAAATAGCTTTGCTCGTCGGCATCTGTCTCTGTTGTGATATTCAAGTTAATTGACAACGACTTTAACAGAGTTGAGTTTCTGCACTTCCTTCCTACATAATACAAAGAGAAAGATTGAACTGTAAGTTGACACAAGGCTGACATTTTTGCTGAAAAATTGACGTACATTAGTGTCTCCTCTTCCCTGGAAAAACTCGACCGCCTTAAACTAAAACAAAAAAAATATAATCAACATCGAGAGGTGAGTAGGATGTTTTAACAAAGCTTTACGAGGGTTGCATCTTTTTCATGGAGGACTGGATTGAAATCTGTAATCATCGTATTAGACGGGAACTCGTGATATCCTGTGCTTGTCTGCTGTTAAAAAGATAGATCTATGAGGGTTTAAACAAGCTCGAACGACACAAAAAGTGCCTGCTTCTCATTTCAGGAGTAAAATGAAACTTTCCGATGAGCGTTCCCGTGGTTGCACCTCTCTAAAAATTAAAATTAGCGCAAAGATGGGCCTATGCTTTAAGTATTTTGGTAAACATTAGCCTCGCTCCATGTAANTACAAAACTCCCTAAAACATAGTCACACGGAATTTATCTGCTCATTGCAAGTTCGATGAGTCCTGTATCTAAAATCAATATGACACAATACTAAAGCTGTCGTCTGCTTCGTGAAATATTTGAATAAGCTTGCTCGAGAAAATTCCCGTTTACCTAAATCATCCAGCTTCATGATTGTATGTTTAAGCTTTGCTTCCACTAATTCTTAAGCTCTGCTTAAAATTAAGAGAGACTTACATGATAGATCGTTAAATCTGTGTCGGCATGGTTTATACCCGTTTTTTGTCAGCTATCCTTGTGAGTTTTTCAGTGCTTGTGTTACCAATCAGTGCTCTGGGTAAGTTTAACATCTTCCTACACTAAACTATTAATACTTAACGTGATTTTTCCCAAGGTAAAAATTGCTGACTTTAGTTAAATCACAAGGTGCAATGGTTATCGATCGTTTCTGATCTAACCAAGGCTAAAATTTAAATTATACATCCCTATCATGTGTTGCAATTCTTTATTTTTTCATTCAGCATCTCTTAGAGTTATTCGAAATCAAATATTTAAAACAAATTCTTTCCTCTTAGAGTCTCACCGAAGTCAATTTTTGGATCATTTATTGTGACGGGAATGAAACACACATGCAGCCAAGTGTAAACCGGGGAAAAATACACTAAAAGCCCCCAGGGCGAGCGAAAGTAAACTGTGATGCTATTAAATATTTTTTGCAGTCGAATGAACGTAGGTTTCTACTTTTTTTCGATGCACTCTCTTTTCTTAGCGACAAGAGTGTGTCTTTCAGAGGCAACCTTCTTTTACATAAAACATAAAAGCAGAAGTAAATATTACTTCATATTTTACCTGCTTCGTCTAAAACTATCCTGATTCTTGAGGTGTCTTTCTTTAACAGTATGTCCAAAGAACTGGGTACCTTTTCAAACCTCGTGCTACAAGTTCTCTTCCAAGTCACTCTCCTGGAATGCAGCAAAAGCTTCCTGCGAAGCACAAAGATCCCATCTCGTCGTGATCAATTCTCGAGCTGAAAATCAAGGGATTGGCACGTGGGTAACACATCATTCATATCATATTGGTTTGTATAGGGATCCTAAAGACAAGAATCGCTGGCTCTGGGTCGATGGTTCGCGACCAAAATTTACCAATTGGTATTCTGGAGAGCCTAATAATTCTGGAGGCAGCGAGGACTGCAGCCAGATATATAGCAAGAGGCACGGATGGAGGTGGAATGACATCCCTTGTCGTTTTTCACTGCTTTACATTTGCGAAACCAGTGGTGAGTCTGTCACAGCGGCTGAGCAAAAAAAAAAAGTACAAAATGAATATCAAAATGATACTCGAGGGCCTCAATACTGATAAAGGTTAGCCATAAGATCAAACTGTCCAAAAAAAAAGGAAGCTCAATATCTTCCGACAAACTATGATAATGTCTCTCAAATTCTACTGAATTTAGTTGTTTGACGCTAACAGTTTGGATTTCTAAAAATCTTTAAACTGGCAAACTATGTATCCATCTATCCCCAAAAAACTCACTCTGACCATACCCCCTAATCTACCCCTATTACGAAATTTTTGAATCATTAACTTGAATCTACACCTAAATGAATATCACAACTAGCTTCTGCCCCCAAATCCTTCTAGTACGTCTTAAAAAACCAAAAGGTTTCTTTCATTGATGACGTGTTCCTAACCATGCCATGCTGCGCCGATAAATATTTTGTCTTCCAACAACGATGTTTTCAAAGTTTTCAGGTACAGTGCAATCTGAATTATGCTGCAAAGGGATTTCACTGCTACTTAGATGTTGTTAGGGGCTTTGCAGAGCGATCTTCGTTTTAATTTTATGTTATCGCTGAAAGCCCAAAACGAACTCTCAGAATAAGACCCATATTAAAAGCTGAATCTTGAATCACAAATTTCTTCCTGATAAGTTCCATCTGTCATAAGCCCTAAATTTTAATCGTCAACTGTCAGAGTTACTCCCCCAATACATATGTACACAACCGACCACAAGGGTGGAAAGACGCTGGTTACCAGGTCGTTGTTACATTTGCCTAATTCTTACATTTACTACGTTTGGCTGCTGTTGTGAGTTT